AATCTCAGTGGATGTGGAATAGACACAATAATTCATCCTTGATAAATGAAACAAGTAGCCTACTAATGATCCGAGGCGCAGAACGACATCCAAAACAACATATTGGTGAAACATTGGTAGCAGCTAATAATCATTTCATATCAGGAAGTAAAACGCCTGATACCACTTTTCATTATGAAATAATTACTTATATATGGTTGATATAAATTCTCGTGTGAATATTGTTTTTTGATTTCGGGTTTTGTTTTGCGTTTCGGATCGTTAGTACTTATTTATTTTATATGAGTAAGTATTTCATAATGAAAAGTAGTATCAGGCGTCTAGCTAGAAGAGAAAGCCACCCACGTCATACCAAACGAACGTGACAAATAGGTAGGCCTACGTAAAATCAAATTATTGATTTCGGCTGATCATAGAACTATATGATTCAACACTTTTTGAATATCTAGAAGATTTGAAGGGCGCTGCTGTGCCAATTGGGGATTTTTGCTGAAATCATTTGGCGTCCACTTAAAGAATTATGCGCCCTTTGATTTTCCTTCGCTGGTGGGGCATGATAAAATAAGAAATTGTGGGATATCGAAACCTAAGGTTGAGCAAAAGGCAGCCTCTTTGGGTTTTGATATCAGAAAACAAAAAAGATACGAAATTTTAATTTAATTTTAATGAGTTTGGTATTTAGCAAAGTAAGCACACTCACTGAACAGGAGTTTATATTGTCTGTAGAGATATTACTTATGATATACAACAAAACAAGTAGTAAGCCGAAATAATTTATATGATATCCTCCATTATGGCTTAAACAGATGCTTACTTTGTTAACTTTAAACCTTTTTAGAATGAGACATATAGTCTTAATGTCTACAGAAAATGTTTTAACGTGACAAATATCGCCAGTTCCAATCACTATCTACAGTAAAGTCTTGTTGTGGGTGTGAAAAACATCTCACTAATTGACAATTAACACTGTTGATTAAATTAGGACCATAATTAAAACTGATACAGTTGTTCATCTGTAAACATTGATGGATACACTCATATACATTGGTTACTTCATATGGTAAGGGTGGACAATTTGGTGAACTGGAACGTTTACCTACCACTTTCTTTATATTAATTTCTGTAATAAATCATATATTTAAAATCTTGATATTGTCGTTTAACGGACATTTTTTTTTGCTCAAATTTGTGAAAACTATACATCAAAATCTGAAGAAATATGTCCCTTCCTTATCTGAAAGTATTAACTGAAAAAACAGCTATTAATTTTTTAACGCCAAAACTATTTCAAAAGTTTACGTGAACGTTTAAAGTTCGTTATGGATTTTGGAAGATGTTAGAGAACTACTGTAGTAGTTATCTACTACATAGATATAAATAGCACACTTTAAAAATATTTTCAGGAATAATTTACAATGTTTTTGATAATAAATTTTTTTTTTACAAAAAGCGGAAACAGAGCGTACAATGAACGTTATATTACTCTTCAAACTGATAGGCATGTCTTATTTTCATTACTAGCTGATATAACTGGTTCTCAGATATACATTTTCATATGACAGCTATGGCTTCTGTGAGCTCCTGTTTCCTGATAATGATTTTTATGGAATTTGCAAATCGGAGACGGGAAATTGACATGGCGTAAATAGCTGAAATAGAAACTTCTTCTGAAACCCGTATTAGCATTTTCCCTAGAAAACTTAATTATAACGTCATCAAAAATTTAGAAATTAAGTCAATCGTCACATCTAGTGGTATTTAAGTTTTTAATTGTTGACGAATTGCACGCTGGATTTACTTTCTGAAATAGAGTTTTAACGGCTAGTAAATCAAATATTTAGTTGACTACAATCTCATTATTAGAAGTATATATCCCTTTATTCTAAACCTACCAGGTAAGTACTGTGTTGAACAGCCATTGTATATATCACCAAATATCTCTAATTCACATATTGTTAAATAATCTGGGTTGTTCAAAACAAACAGAACAAATCTTCCCATACATATTTTCGTACATGTTGAATTTGTCCAGGTGCCTCTCTCTGCTATGTTCGGGTAATGGACACAAATACAGTATTCAGTATCCACCATGTTATATTTGATATGAGGACCAGGATCATATTGCCAAACAGAAACAGTAAAATTTCTCAATCTATCACCTAAATTGAAATCATTAAATAAATACAAACAAATTTTATAATTCTCCCAAATGATGACTGATAATCTGATATCTT